AAAAAACACCCTTTACGTAACAGATAATCTATTTTTAAACAAGCTGATATACAAATATACTCGTACATGCATATGTAAGTGCAAACGTAACTCTTGTATGGTAATGTAACATATGTATGTATGTATATGTATGTATAACATAAAGCTTAGTAGGGCATGTGTTTCCTGTTTGAATTCTATGACCTTGTTAAAAGTTCTTACACACCATTCTCAAAACATATTAAAGAGTACATTTGTGATATGTTATTTAATCAAAAATTCGGCATGCTTTTTGATAAATATTGTTCATATACATATACATACATACAGATGTATATCTCTGTTTGGACATGTTTGTTCTTATTTACGTTCAGTTCAGACTTCTGCATTCAAAATATAACGAAAATTTTCATTCTTTCACAGCACTTTTTTGTTGTAGTCTTCAAAATAGTCCTCATAGAAAATTAAGCACTTGTGCCAACGCTTCTTCCGTTTCGAAAACACTTCTCAAACGTTCTTTCTTTTCTTTTTTGAGATAGCCTTCAGTTCCAACAGTAATGCGTTTTTAAAGTAAAAAAGTTCGCCTTTTAATGTTTTCTTCAGCTTCGGAAAAAGAGTCACCCGGAGCAGTATCTGTTAATCATATAGAGTACAAACCATCTTTACAGTGTCGCTTTTGGTCGAAAATTCGTGAACAAGCAATGAAATGCTATAAACTGTTTTTTCTGCAAATCTTGGCATTTGTTTTCGTTATTGATCGCTTGATCTGGTGTCAGGAATTTATGAGTGACGATGCTATTAAAATCGAGTTACATATCATATATAATCTTCATTTTCGGCCGCACTTGTCGAGCCCTTTCGATCGATGGTTGAGCTTCAGTTTCGACGTCATATCCTATAATGCCATGTTTCGCATCTGTTATAATACTACGTTCATAATTATGTATCTTCGTTCAACCTTATGCATCTCCGTACGCTTGAACAACTTCCATGTGTAAAATTCAAGCGGTTTAGCACAAATTTTGCTGTCGCGAGTTTCATACCCAAAACTTTGAAAAAAAAAATATATATATATAATGCCATGATCTAACAGATATGCCAACACCAACAGCAATTTCTCTGATTGTTATTCGGCGATAGTTAATAATCATTTATTTCACTTTTTCCACGTTTTCATCGATTGTTGAACATCTTCAGGGAATTATTAAAATGGCCAATACCACTAGTAAACTTCTAAAAAAAAATTTAGTTTTATCAGGTATGGCCTGACGTCTAAAATAAAAAGGAAAATGTGTGAAAATAAAGTAGAATATCGTGCAAGTGGTGGTGGGCCAAACAGGCTAAATATTTACACCCATATGGAAGAGGTCAACTGCATGGCATAAATATAACTAGAGAGAATCAAGTTCAAGTTATAATTGAAGGGTGTCCCATCCAACCCATCGAAAATCGAATGCAACTCAATTAGGAGCCTTTGCTACACTTATTTAACAAATGACTCATAAAAACACAGTTTAATGGCTATCTGTTGATGAAAACAACTGAATGATTTGTCATATTCCAGTGGCATGTATGCGAAATAATAAAAAAATATTTTTCAATTGGTATTTCCTAGCCAGCGAAATTGAAAAATTTTATTTATTTCTTGAACACACCTCGTTTGGGTAATAATCTGATTTTGTCAAAAAATTGGGTTAGTCGAGTTATACCGGCACTCACAAAAGAAGTTTTATTTGTTTTCAATTATGTTTGAATTCAAACGATCATCGGTACTAAGGATTGTTTTATCAAGATACGAGTATTTCAATATTTTGAAAATATTTGATGGGTGTATTACTCAAACAGAAATCAGATCGAAATATCACAATTGGTAAGTTATGTATGTATTTCTTTCTATAAATCAAGATTGCCATGTAAAGCATTAGGGTGAGCAAAAATTTCATTAAGAATTGACAATTCTCTCTTGTTTTGATGGTTAATTATGTAGTAAAAAAAAAAAATAATAATAATAGATGTAAAAGCTCTCTTTTCAACAAATCTATATTAAAAGCATTGACCAGAGACCATATTAAATTCATATGTAGTATTTCATTTTAAGATTTCGATAATTTTTGGTGCCGACGTAAGTTATCAAATTTTTGTGTAAATTTACACTTTTAGGTGCTTTTGACAGTTTATCGACACATTACTTTATATCTGAAGAAATCGGTTGTAAGGCCTACCAATTGGACCAAAAATCTTTCATCGAAAAAATCGGTGGTATATAAAAATCGTTATGGTCATAAATTTATCGAAGTAGCATGTAACAGCATGAAATTTCGTATACTACACATATGGATATGATGCATTACACATTCGTGTCGAAAAAAGTCGAAATCGGAAGACTTGACATACAGTGGCTCAAAAGTGAACTCGGACATCCAAGTCATATGACTTCAAACAAAAAAATATATAATAAAATGCAAATCGAGGGCTTTCTGCTTAACATATATTTCTATTCTTCAAGTGTATTTTTCAAAACAACCAAAACCATAAACTAAATTCAACATAACAACTTAACAAAACTGATGACAAAAAAATCTCGGACATAGTGTGTCTCAAAAATAACCGAACTTCATATTTAAATCATACAACATACAGCGCCATCTATTGAAAATTTGCACATTAAAAAGAAACATTCATCCTCTTTCAAACGCACCTAACATCATGTAAGTCGGATGACAGTTGTAAAAGTTCTTTCATTTCAATAAAACCAAAAGTGTGCTAATGGTTCAAAAATAAAATGGAACAAAGAGCAAATATAAAATTTTGTGTCAAACTTGAAAAAAAATTAATGAAAAAAGTTTATTGTGGTTTACACGATTTAAAAATGGTCGTGAGGATTTAAATGACGACCCTAGAGCAGGACGTCCAGAAACTAGTAATCGTGCTGAACTGGTGGAAAAAGTCCGTGAAATCATTGGTATCGATGCAAATTTTACTACGAGAATGTTGGCTGAGGAATTGAATATGAGTAAAAACACTATTTGAGGAGTTTAACTGAAGCGCGATTTGTTCCACATGAATTAAATGACGACCAAAAAATCGCTCGAATTTTTAATGAAAAAAGGGATTTTTCTCATCGACCATCCTCCCTATTCGCCTGATCTATCACCATGTGACTATTTTTTATTTCCAAAACTGAAAACCAAGATGAAGGGAGCATTTTATGATGATATCCCAGCCATTCAAGCAGCCGTAACCGAGGCACTGAAGAACATTTCTATAAATGTCCTAAAAAAATCTATGCATGCGCTGGTTGATCGTTCCAAACGTTGTGTTGAGTCAAATGGAACCTATTTTGAATAAATAATAAATTTCAAAGATAATATAATGTGTATTTTATTTTATATCCAAAAAGTTCAGTTATTTTTGGGATACACTGTATACATAACATAGAATTTAAAAATATTATTTAAAGAGACAGTTATACATCAACCATAGACGGACATCAAGTGCTTTATGCTTGGGATCGTTGTCTTGGTAGTACTGGGTTGAATTCCCAACTTTTCCGCACTTCGCACTAAATTTTCTTTTAAAATGGTCAGATATTGCTTGTGGTCCATATTACCATTTATGAAACACAAATTTCCAGCACCAGCTGCGGACATAAAACCCCATACCATTACTGAGCCGCCCCTGTGTTTAACTGTCCATCTGAACTAAATATGTATATTAAATTTACTTTCATCTGCAAATAAAACTTGTTTCCAGAATTGAAAATCCTTATCCCCATGACATTTTGCAAATTTTATCCTTTTGTTTCGGTTAACCTCGTTTATGAATGGTTTCTTCCGTGCTACTCTTCCATTATAATTATTTTTTCGTAAGACTATTCGGATACTCTCCGGATTACAATTTATATTGAGATGCTGCAAAACTTCTGATGAGAGCTTGGGAGCGCTCATGTTTGTATTTATTTTAATTTGCTGCACTATCTACCGCTCATCTGCAGCCGAAAACAACTTCGGTCGTCCATACTTCTTTTTGTTTTCCACGGATTTTGTTTGTTTGAATCGTTTACTTTTCACCTTTTTTTTCCAAAAAAAAACTACTGAAATTTTATTTTAAGCTATTACGTTTGATTATATACATATGTATTTTTAAACGAAAACAAAATTTGTTCTTTTTTTTGTTTTAATTGTGGGATTCCCCTTTTTAAAATGCCAAGCAACTGTAATATTACCAGATGTCCGACTTCTTTTTTGGCGAAATTTCTAGCATGCCACATGTTTATTTTTTGCAGTAAGAGTATAGGAGACCTATAAACTATTTAATTTGTTTGTTATTGGTATTTTTTAAATCCTTATTGGACACCCTATAGAAACATATAAAACAAAAATGCTTAATATCAATTGGTAAAAAAAAAATATAGCTTGAAGTTGCATGCTATTTAATAACAGTGGAATGTATGTTCGAGTTCTTTATTGAGCCACTGTATATATATATATGTATGTAACACTGTAACAAAGTATGATTGATATATCTAAAAAAAAAAACCTGAGGAATTTATTTGATAAATCAGCTCAACTTGTCATTCTGGTCCCACTGGTATAAGTTCTTATTAGTCTATATCTTCTTCTGGTCCTTATATACTTCGGATCAAAATGAATATACCATTTCATGCACATGAAAGGCACAAAGGCCACAAAAACTGCATATTTTGTTTTCGTTCTCTTTACAGAAATATTTATATACAAAAAAAAAAAAAAAAAAAAAAAAAAATAGTTGAAAAAGGACGAAACGTTCTAACAGCATCATAAAAATTGTAACTTAAAAGGTTCAAAAGTTATGATTAATCTTAACGAAGATTTTTTTGCCTGTAATTATTATGGGAAACTTGCTGGTTCATATTAATCCATAGTTAGATTTTGTCCCATCCCAATGTGCATATATACATAGATACATATTTATTTTACTAACTGTGCATATTAATAATAATTAACTAGTTATTGAAAAAAACAATTGTATTAAAAGCATACCTCTGTAGTTCCCGATACATCATTACCATTGTTGGCACACCCATGCCCATGAGAACAAAGGCATTCACAATTGGCTTCCAAATTGACATGCCCGTCGCGAAAATCGCCGAAAAAAACATAAACACGCTGAATGCTTTACTACATAAAAGAAATAAAAAAAAAACAAAACATTTTATATTTTACATTTTTTGCATTAATGTATGTACATATGTATGAATACACTCTGTTACAAATGTATAAACGCACCAACTTTTTTGTAGTTTAGAAAATAACAGAGAGGCAAATATAAAAATTATTATTATGGTTTATTCAATTCCAATAAGGTGGTCTGGTAACTTGCATTCTTTTTAATGCTTTTTTGGGAATAGTTTCTTTGAGGATAGTTCAAATATTAGCATTAAAAAGATTGTTATTCTGTGAAAATGTCTTGCTGGTTGTTCACCCAGTTCTTGCAAAAGCTATTGATAAGTAGAATAACATATTCACATAATTTCAGCACAATGGGTTGGATAGAAAATTTGTTGCCATCCGGACCGACTGTAAAATCGTTGTCTTGAGAAAAATGCGTTTACAACTACAGCTACAAGCGGCTAATGCTGCAACTACCATTTTACTTACTTTCCATTACTATCCATAACAGCCGACTGGAAGAGCGATATGCATGCACGAGTTATCGACGCAACTGAGAGCAGCGAAATGTTGCCAGCTGCCAGTGTGTTTGCACACTTTTAAAAAAATTATAATTTTGGTTAAGAAATTTCATAATTTATATGTTCGAATATAAATGACCTATATGGTAACAAATAATTAGTTACGAATTTTATTTTGAAAAATCTACGCATTATCTTTGATTATTTCATATTACTTTAAAAAGACTACACTGGCAACCTTGTATAGCAAAGAGAAATGAGCCGAGCCGGTTTTACGGAAAAAATCAAATCACCGCTGGTTTCTGTTTTACAAACGTCAGTAACGGCATGGGCAAGCGGTGACAATTTTGCATTTACATGGCGCTCTCATAAGATAGGTTGCTATGGACGGAAGATATGTAAGATGGGTAGTTGCAGCATAAGTGCGTACCACTGCGAAACGCTCACGTATAGGTGTTATAACTCCGTCAATATTTCGAATTTCGTTCTATAATTACAATTTATTCTTAATATATGCTACCTTTAAGAAAAAAATTAAAAACAGCAACAACAAAAGGGAATGCTAGTAGTATGTCTTCCGAATTATCTCGAACATTCGATCGGGCATATTGCTTATTAGTGTTGGTAAGTAGTCTTATCCATGCACTCCCAAACGTCAATTACTGGAGCTTGAAGCTTTGCTACGCTTGCATACTGAGCGGTTTCGGGGGATCAAGGGGGCCAAGTCAAAATTTAAATTATTTTGTCACGTAGCCACGCGCACGTCTACATACTTCCATGAATTGAAGCATTAGAATGCTGAAAAACTACTTTTTTCTTCTACACACTGATGCATTCATCGGAATTCATATGAGTGGTTGGCAATTTCCATTTAAGCTGCTTTACCAACCACGAGATGTAAAATTATCATTGGCTACTGCGGTGGCCGTGTAGTCAGCTGAATAAAAATTATGAAAGCGGCACCGACAGCAACAACATGCGAAAATATGCATTCATATTATATATATATATATATATATTCATTTCATTTATATACTATTTATTTTATTTATATATAAGATATTTTCATACTATAATACACGTAGAGAAATATATGTTACTTTTTGAATCTACAAGGTCTTATATTTTTTTCGCATATTTTCGTTCATATAAATTAGCTCTGAAAATATATATTTCATGTAGCATTGGTAACGCGTTTTCTACTAATGAATTTCATTTGTCCACAGCAACATCGGTGGTTGTTTGGCCGCATAGCCGAGTAATCGGCACTTCGTTCGCTCCCATAAGACCTAATGCATTTTAATTTTCACATCTCATGGGTCAGCGCCAAAGGCCAGCTCATTTTGTTTTCATCTTCATAACGCTTTGACAGGTGTGGAGCTGATTTCAGAAACTGTCTTTCGATGAATTTCAGGCCAAGTTTTCGATTTATTTGTTTAGTACTCTTCAAAGAATCGCTCGCAAGGTTCAGTATGCTTCGCTTATCTTTTTCTGATGGTTTCGGTTTTGCTCTCTTTGTTTTCCACAACCATAATCTCCAATTTTTCAAAAACACTAGGGTTATTCTCTTAGTATAGGAAATGCATACTATGCCTAAAATTTTCTAGGCAATATTACTAGAGAACGGAAGTCAAATAACAACAACTAGCTGACACTTGGTTGCTGTTTTTCTTCTTGCAGTATATGAATAAAGGTAAGGTGAACTTGTTTGTAAAATTAAAAATCTTTATTTATCCTTCTACATCGATTTCGTCGCCTTCAAAATAGTCCCCTGCCGATGCAATGCACTTATTCTTATGTAAAATAGTCATGTTTTGATATGGCCTTCAGAGAGCACGCCGATTTACCTTTAATATCCTCAATCGATCTAAAACGGTGTCCTCGAAGTGGTCTCTAGAGTTTTTAGAAGAGTCAGAAGTCACATGGTGCTAAGTCCGGTGAAAACGGTGGTTGGGGAACGATATTCGAAGGCACTTTTAGTCGTTTAGTAAACACAAAGCGGCCGCGGTAGCCTAGTGGTTGGCGCTGCGCTCAGGTTCAAATCCTGATGCCGTTCCAACATTCAAAAAATTTATAGAAAACTTATTTAAAATAAAAAATTTATTTAAATTTTCGAATTGCAGTCGCCCTTCGGCAGGGAGTGTATTTCTGACATGTTATAAAGTTCCTCATAAAAAACCGTATTTTAACTTCTACACTGAAAAAAGTAGGTGCGCTTATAAATTTGCAACAGAGTGTAAACATTTGCATATGATAATGCATAAACGTTATTAATTACTCATTCAAAATAAATATAGATGCGAGTACATATGTTACGGGTATATTCATAAATAACCATAGCATTTACAACACAATAACACACACATACATATATTATATTTGCATTTCGAGTGCACTTACCGGTCATTACGGAAGACTTTTGGATAATACTTTTTCGGGAAGAATAAGGAATATGCGGCCATAAAGACCCATAAAATAGCCAGTTCATCGAGTAATTGACCAATTAAACTGAGCGTTGCATGGAAGTACATTGAGCTTAAACCGACAATTATGAGCAGAACCCAAAGAACGTGTATACCAGGTGTAACAAATCGTCCATACTCCTTAAATAAATATATCAAAAGTGGTGGCAGGAGCAGAAATAGAAAATTGCTTGTCTGCAATAACAATAATGATAATATATTATACGCATTAATGACATATTTGTAAATAATTGTATAATACAATACACTGCATTAATATACATATGTGTATAAGTACGAGTATAGTAGGGTGTGGAGAGAATACACTATATTTTTCTAAGAAAATATTACCTCTTTTACCTTTGAAGGTTGATTGAAAAAATATATTCTCTTTTAAACAGTGGGTTCACAAATTAATTCGCTACGATTTTTTTTGTTCCCAAAAGTTGATTTTTATTGAAAAAATAGTAAAATATACATCATTCATTGTTCGTTGGAAGCTATTACTTTTTTCGATGTCTGTAGTCATTTTCGGATACTATTCCTAAAAAATGAATGCTTTCTGTCATCAATACAATGATTGAGCCATTTTTCGATTTCTTCGAAAGTACCGAACCGGTGACCCTGCATTCAGCTCGTTTGGCATCCATCGAAAAAGCCAGTAGTCGGAAGGAGCAATACGGCAGGTGGGGTAGGATCTCCCATTTCACGTCCACGTGAGGCCGAGCGTTGGTTGTCATGTTGCAAAATCACCTTGTCATGCCTTTCGGTCGTTTCTGACCGTTTTTCACGCAATGCATAACTGAAACGCATTTCTTATCCTCAAATTTTTTGTGTGGTACAGAACACTTTTTATCTTTGATGCTAAAATCATCACTTTTGAAATGTCGAAATCACAATTCCTGCATGACTTATCGGTTAGATTTACCGTAAACTCCCACAAGCAAACGATGGACTTTAGCTGCACTTTTCTCCCAATTAAGATAGCAAATCAAAACTTCTCGCAAATGCTGCTTATATACAATAACACAAATCTGCGCATTTTCTTAGAGGCCAAAAAAAATCGTTCCACCAAATATAATATATACAATATACTCTTCCTCCACCTGCCTATATGTATTGGATTGGTGCATTCAAATGTTTCAATTCGAAATATATAAATAATTATGAAATAATTTAATTTAGTAGTGATCGGCCCCTGAAGGGTATTAGGATCATCATCGTGAAATCTTAGTCCATAAAGATGCTTTGATGTAAAAAATTAAGATACCTAAAACATTTAAAAGAATACCCGTACTCAATCGATTCACAAGGTACTGGAAGAAGCAATTTTCCTTATACTTAGTATTGAGTTGGGGAGAAAACTTCATTCTGTTTTTTTTTTAATGATTTGTTTACTGTTCTGCAAAGTGTTTGTATTCGTAAGAAAGTTCTTTTTCCGCTCTATTTGTTTATTTTTTATTTATTTGTTTTGGCGTATAGTTTTATTTTTCCTATTTTTCAGGATTAGAAATGGAATACCAAGGAGGAATAAATCAGGATCTTTGACACCTACTTTCGTTATACACTGGAAAAAGCTTGAACGAAACGCAACGGTCAACAAGGAGCTCCATATTCTCCAATTACGCCACCTTAATGAGGTTATGCGACAGAAAAGGCCTGATCGACAAGCCCAAAGACATCTTGCTCTCCGATAACGCCCGACTGTAAGTTGCACAAGTCGTCGAAACCGCACTCCAAGGCTTCGAATGGAATGGTTCTTCAAAACGCATCGTAATTGCCGAACCTTCCGCTAACTGATTATCACCTTTTCCGCTCCATGTCGAATCAAATGAGGGGTGTTACTTTCGACGGCATAAAAAATTGGTCAACAGTAACGGCGAATGCATAACTGATTAATTTATTGCCATAAATGAAGCTTTTTGAAAAAACACTTATTCCTCAACCAAATGTTTTTTATTTATGCAGAAAGGATGCAAAATAGAGTTCAGAGTGTCGAAATTTTGATATTAACATTTCCTCAAATTAAAATGCTAGCAACCTTCTGGGCCGTTTTACTATGCTTTCGCCCCTTCTCCTGACACACACAAAAATATCACTGGAAATGAGTTCTAAACTTTAGACTTTATACCGGAACGACCCAAAATTTTTATTGGCCAAAGATTGCCAATCCCACACTATTCTTCTAAAACCAATTTGTGGAATATATTTGTGGTTTCAAAAACAACATTTATAGTTTGATGCATATGGACACATGCCAACAGATGAAAGAACTATGAGCTGTATGAGATATATGACGAAATCGGCAGAGTTCGAAATAATGGAAGTACTCCAGCTTTGAAAATACTTGATGCAGTAATCGATGGTGGAAGCAGAAAAGCGGCAAACCTCTCTTCCGTTGGTGGAAAGCGATATGGTTTCACTTGATATTTCCAATAGACGACAAGCAATGAAAAAAATGGATCACGCGCTACTGTTGATTTGGTTTAAATCTACATGAACGGTGCTTACCAATTAAAAAAATACAAAGATCTTTCAAAGCTGGTGGCTTCAAAGCTGAAGTACTTTTACCTATTCGGACAATACAGCCCAGCCAGCGTAGATGATGAAAGACCTTAAGTCCTAAAAATTGTAAATATTGGAATACCCTATGACAAGCTTTTGCACTCGTTTAACCTAAGAAGTGTAAATAATATGGAATGGTCAATTAATTTGCACATGTGTACCTTACTGTAATATGCACTCATAAATTTCATATACAGACAGTATATATATATATAAAGTACATTCATGTAACGTATGCAGATAATGAATGGCATATGCCGGCAACGCTTTCGTCTCACATTCCCAAGTAATTAGCATATTAGAATAGTAGCGCTTGGCCTTTACCTTGATAATGTGCTTTTCTATTTTATAAAGGCATTTTTAAATACTCAAGTACTTATAATTTAAACAAGTATTTTGGGATTTAGACAAAAAAAAAATTAATTTCAAAAAAAAACGCTTTGAATTTTTACGGCAAGAAAAATTGTAAGTGGGTAATTTTTAGACAATGAAATTGATACGAACACTTAACAGTTTGCTTGATCAAGAAGCCCTGATCAACTGCACTTAGGCCTACTGGCCAATTGTGTTGTCTATGTTGGCTCTGCAGAGAAGTTTTCTTCCTTTTTCACCTTTTCCAAAGCACAAACCACTTTGTGTGTTTCACTAATTTCAGGAGATTAGCTCTGTAGGCAATCGAAGAAGAAATTTCCGAGACAACGTAACACATCGCAGTAAGTACTGGGCAGTGTCCGAGGTAATGTTCATCGATTCCTCTTCATCTATGCCCTGCAGGTGCGTCAGAAGTCGTTTGAGAAGCAGCCCATCCTTCTACCATACATCCCCATAAGGCAGCGTCCGGTTATTGCGCCGGTTAATAAGCTTTTGGAGGTCTGGTTTAGAAGGAGTTTACCTGTTTACCTCGATTAGTGGCCAGTTTTGACTTGTCGCATATAACGAGAAGGAATGATTGCTGACAGCATGTGAACTCCCAGAATTGACGAAAGAAATAAGTGACTATTTCACCACTGCCAACAGAAATTGACTTTATTTGTCAACATTTCTGAGCAAGATAATAATAACTTAATAAAATAATTGTCTCCCAAATATCATACTTCTATAAATAATTTGTCACTCTCTGGTAGTTTGCTGTTAACTAGCGGTGAAATAGTCTCTTACTAATATCGTATAGAGGTAAAATAGTCTCTTGGCAATCACATAGGTGGAACAAATGGCAATCGGCACGCAACGGTCCTGCTCTTTAATATACGTTCTCTGGTCACATTACACGTGGTCTCATTCTGCCATCTGCTGTTGGCCCTTCTAATGAAGGCTAGCCTTAGCGTCATGTGCAGAGTTTAACGCTGTTATTACTGTTCCCTTTTCTGGACAGTTCGTCGGCTACACAGTTCTCTGGGATGTTCCTATGAACAGGTAATCAAATCGCAGACGTTTCACATACAGCTGAGAGTTTTTTTAAGTTTTTTCTATATTTAATTGCCACCTTTGAGTTGGTATGATTGCATTTGAACGACTTAAGGGCAGCCTGGCTATCAGAATATATTGCAATAAGTTAGATTAACGTATCAGAAACGAGCAATCATGAAGAGGCTTCCGTTATCGCGTTAGACGCTGTAGTGGTTGGGAAGTCTATTACTTAATTCTATAGGAATGTCATCTAGTTTAGAGCCGTCGGTGAAGAAGGCTATGGATCTAATGCAGATGCAGTGTATATTTAAATACATATATAATATTAACTAATACAGTATTCCATATATTTTGAACTTACATACACGTGTATATATTTCTTTTAAGGAACTGAAATCAATTATTAATTATTTACTTTATTTATACTTATTGTTTTGGCTTATTTACGGCCACAAAGAATTTTGCATTTGCCATCAAAAATATCTAAAATTAATTATAGTAAACAAAAATTTCTTTGTGCCAGGTGCAATACCATTTCTAATCTGTCTAAAATTATTTAAAGTTATATATGCATATATGCTTATGTGTATATTTATGTACTAGTATGACGAGGCACTAGATTATTATCTTTCTATGTAGAAACGCATATTCTTATCAAGCTCTTTGTGTTTTGAAATATTTACTAAAAAATAATATATAATCAGTATATCTTTAAAAGAAATGTCAATGAACTTTAAAACATATTGTACATTACAATTACATTAAAAGTACAATATATCTTTTTATGGTGCAATTCAAAAGATGATTAATGACCGTATTATACAATGAAGAGTTAACACACGTTCTGAATTTCATCATTCATACATTTTCGAGTATTAAGAGTAATCGTTTTAATGTTCGCAGAATGGGCGATAAGGGGTGGGGAAAAAGACATATTAATTTTTTCTTTTTTTATATATATTCACCTGCAACACGAATACATTTTTCAGATCTTTTAATTAATTGATTTATACTCACTTAAGAAAAATGCTTCTTCCATTACCCCTCATCCCGTTTTTTCATTTTTAAATAACCCAAGACGCGGATTGGGCTGTAGGGCGGATAATTCAAAATATTGAAGGTTTGCAAGGCAGCCAAAGCAACCCGGCTTTTGTGGACGTTCGTTTTTTGCGGAGGCACGGGCATTCTCGGCAACCATCTTGCGCTGACCTTAGTCATGTCAA